AAATGTTTTCAAAATATTGTACCTGATATTTTTTAAAGAGTTGATATTATTAAAACAGATTTTGTTTCGGGCAAGAATTTCTACCTACAATTCAATAGTTTTGAAGTAATAACTTTTTGCAATTTTCGAAAATATGTAATTCGCCGAAAATGGAACCAGAAACAATTTTTACTGTCCTTTGGTAAATAGAAGAAAAAAGCATTTGGAGTTTTTGAAAGGGTAATTGTTTAATAATTGCTTAAATTTCACGCAAAATTACGCGAAGGCTATCAGTATATTAGAACGATTGTACATGACCTTTTTTCAAGATCTTTCTTTGAACAATACATTCATTAAGAAACTAGTGGTGCCAAAACGGCGCGTACTTTTTTGCATTAGTTCTAACTTTTGCAATTTCCGAACATTAAATTGAATTGAATTGAATAATTAGGAAGGTTTTTTCAGAAAATCTCCTTTTTATAAGTTGCTTTAATTTCACAATTGCGCAAAACCTACTCGTTTTTACCAAAATTCGTACATGACAATTTTTAATGTTACGATTTTTAGAACAGGTTTTTTGTAAGACAAAAACCTTTATGTTGAAATTTGTGATTTTGGAATGTTACAGTTTTACAATTTTCGCAAATACAGAGAGTTTGCCGAAAATGGAACTGGCGCTAATTCTTTTATCGTTGTTTGATACATAAAGGAGAAAATGTAAAGAAAAATTCTAGCCGTTTTTGAGAAAATAAATATTTACAAAATTGCTTATGAGTAATTCAAAATTACGTGAGAACGATTCATATTTTATAAAAAATGTACCTGACCTTATTTCAAGATCTATCTTTCGAAAACAGTTTTCATTAAGAAAAAATATCTATCTTCAACATTGTAGTTGAAGGAAAACGCCGAAAAACTTGGGGTTTTGCTATTTTCCAAGGATTAGTGATTTCCACCCGCCATTCTTTTAGTGGCCTTTACACTACCCGAGACGTCTATTAAAATAATTTAGAGCCATTTTTGAGGAAAATTAGAAAATTGAGTTTTTTTATAAATGTACCCTGAAAAATTAAAATATCCCTTTCAAACTTTCAAATACCTGAATTTATCGAAAATACGAAATGTTCAAAATTTTCTTCTTTAACTACGCCTTCTTTAACTACGATATTAAAGATAGATATATTTTCTATCTCGCCTTCAGTTGGTAAGAAGAAAAAATACGTATTGAAATAACGTGCCGGAAAGAACAATGTTTAACAGAAACAAATTATTCCTATTCCTAGGTACGAAAACGTGGCTCGATCTTCTTCCAATGTTTGGTATATTACTTCCCAAATTACGTTTCAAAAACGGCTCCAATTTTTTTCTTTGAATTTTCTCATCGTGTGTAGCAAAGGACGGTATAAAATTAGTACTAGTCTAATTTGTGGCGAACCCTATGTACTTTCGGAAATTGCTAAAAGTTAACATTTCAAAACTACAAAGTTGAAGATAGAAATTTTACCTCAATTAAAATATCTTCTAAAAAATAGTTCTTTAAAAAAGTTATAAATATATTTGAAAAAAAACAAAAAAACAAGTAGTAGTCTAATTCACATGGATACAAGTGGAATCAAGCACTTTTCTACTCGAAGACGAAAAAGATGACGAAGACTTGTTAAGAAAGTATTTGCTCTCGTGTAATAAAAACTACTTGCTAAGACAAATCAGCAACAGATTTTTACTATTGTTCCTCATCACGTCCTTCGTAACGATATGGACTTCATGGAAAACATGGAGCACGTTTATTTGAATTCCCACTAGAAAAGTGCAGAGATATTAAAGTTACATTTAGGGCCAGAAGCAAAACAAGGAACCATCTCAGCATTTGCTCAGAGTATCGAGGAAACTGGACGAAATGCCTGATCAAGATGGTGTCATTGACCCAGAAGGTCAATGAGGTACAATACTAGTTACAGGAACATTTGTTCTTGTGGAATTAGGTTGTACAATTGGTAACTAATTACATTAAATATCTTTGTTAAAATCAATATATCTCTCTTTTTTTATGATCTGTGTAGTCTATAATTGTATACTAACAGTTATGTGCATCAGAAATAGTTTACATGGTATTTGAATTTGTGAATTTAATCGTTTGATTTTGTGACATATTGTAATATAATCTACATGCATTGATTGAGAGTTTTATGTTGTGAACTGTTGATACTCACACTTGATGAATATGATTACTACAACGAGTGTGATAGTAAGACACACACACACACACACACACACACACACACACATATATATATATATATATATATATATATATATATATATGTGTGTGTGTGTGTGTGTGTGTGTGTGTATGTATATAAGTAGGAAATATTTTAATTATTAACGATCTCGGCCATCCGGACCGGCATATTAGTACCTTGCTTTTCGCCGAAGATCAAATAATCATAAAAGATAGCGAAGTTAATTTTCAAAAGCCATTACATACATTCATTGAGTTAAGTAAGTCCCATATAGAACATGAAAATATTCATAACAGAAACCAAAATTATAGCTTCTCCAGATATTCACTTGATAAGAACCAAAATAGTTCTAAATAACAATCCGTATAATAGGTATCTCATTTCTAGTATTTAGGTTTGATATATCCTATGAAGAATATACTTATCTTACAAAAATTAATTATTTTCTCATATTTATCTATATGTGTTAGAAGAATAGTTTATATTTCCACGAGCGTACAACGTTATTCATTATATTTTGAAATTCGTCACTTATATTAAGAGAGGTAGTGGAAGAAAAAACATTTTACCAATAATCTTGGTTTTATTGTTTACAACGACAATATACACATTTTTGGTTAATGTTCACAATGTTCTTGATTTACAATTTGGGATTCATTCTTACTTTTATGCGTGTTCGCTCCACGGCTTCATTCAATAAAAATATGTACACAAGTGATACGATGAGCCGATGAAAGCGAAACCATCAAAAAAGTAAATAAATACTTCAACGCAATGCTTTTAAGACGATAGTAATAATACGCAGTGCTGCATTTGCCAAAAGCAAATATTTTCAATAAGGAAATAATTATATTGAAAATATTCATTTTTCTACTTCATTACATCTGCACAAACGTTATCGCCGAAAATTACTGGAAAACATGTATACTTCTCTCGGAGTTCAAACGTACGCAAGCTAAGTGCCCGATGAACGGCGGGCATTGTTATTGAAATATATGGATCATTTTACTAAGGCAACATATTTTCATTTCTTTTGATGGAATGTATTAATCACACTATGTAACAAAAGTTTTGCCAACTTTAAGAAAGTTTTCACCCGATTCCTGACAAGCAGATTTGAAGGATATTAGAAATAATAATAATAATAATAATAATAATAATAATAATAATAATAAGTAAAGAAGTTTGGTTTTGAGGTCAGAAAAAAAGTTTTGAAAAATCTGCTTTTTTGGTAAGGTATTCAATCGTCCATTGCAATAAACCTTTTAGACTTGGTCGTTCATAATACTTTGTCGTTCGCGTACCGCACAAAATTAATGGTCATATAAACAATAGAGAATTTCAAAGTAAACATAACCCTGGGGCAACGTGAATCAATATGGCTGCCGCCTCGCTTATTGTAAATGATCCTAAGAGTATATACTTTACATTTCCATATATAAGGAAGTACGCTGCTAAGTTTCCATTTCCAGGAATTCGTTCATTCGTTCCAAAATTTATGTAATAAGATTTCCGTTCTAAAGGGTTTTTTGACGCACTCATTTCAAAATGTCAACATTTTATTCGTACGCCAAAATCTTTCCCTCTGTACAAGTTATGTAAATATCTATTTTTCCATTATTAATCGTGAAATCTCTTTAATTGTTTTAAAAGTGTGAGGCAAGTTATTAGAAGTTGATGTTTAAGAATTTGTACGTATGATTTGGTATTGGATCCCCCAAAGTAATTAATAATGTTGAAATATCTAAATCTTCAATAGAATCGATTAAAAATATTTTATACGAAAATGCCTTTTTCATTAATTCTTTCTTTCTTTCAAAGTCAGTGTGCATAGATGTCACTTGTTTTGTCAACTGTTTACTATAGCTGATTTTGAATGTATTATAAGAACAGTTCGTATTGATATTTTCAGAATTAGTGCAAACATATTTTTTATTTCGTATTCTGTACTCTTTCATTAATAATACATACGAACCTTTTATTTTGTTAATAATGTTTCTTTATCCTAATAAAAATCTTCTTTCAAACATATTTGATTCAACCAAACGGTTACTATGAATCATTCGTTTTATCATAAATTAAAAGGATCAAAGAAATCAAAAACACGGAATGCAAAGTACACGGAATATGATTATCCATTCGTTGACAAAATGTTTGATAGTACGAAGAAAATAATATTTTTAAACAATTAGGTTGAAATGAAAGTCAGATTATAAGATTTTCAACATTCTACAAACTAGTATTTGCATTCCGAAGGACAGGGTGAACGCTGCCATCACGATCAATGCGACTTCGATATCAAGGAGCATATAATTAAACTATAGTGGGTGACAACAAATGCGAGCTGATCCGAAACAGCAGGTTTACAAACGCCAAAATAGAAAAGAACTCTATTGTTAAAATCATTTGTTGAAAATTGTTCCAATTCATTTGTTACTTTTAATTTATGATACAATACATGATTTATAACCGTAACTTTCATTAAAACAAATCAAGACGAACAGCGTTATTTTATCACGATAACGAAACATTCTCAAGAAAAACAAAAGATTAATATGTATTAATGACGGAAAAAATAAGAATAGTTATATATAAAGGAATTTAACAAAGTTTATATTAATAACTAAGAAAATATTATGTCTACTCAATATCAACTATTTACATTAAATTCTAAGTCAACTGTAGTAAACATTTGTTTATAAGTGATACTTCAACCAATTTATACAGTAGAAACTGCATATTTTTTTCTTATGAAATAAGTTTACGTCGTTTAAATTTGGGATTATTACAAAAAAATCAGAAAACTTGATTATCTTATGAGATGGCAAAAAGGAATTACGTAAAATTGGCTGCATAACATGTAATAACTTGTGACACTTTAATAACATTTTAGAAGGGTTTCAACAAGTAGGTAAAAAGTTTACATACGATATACATGATATTACTTACGATTTTTCATTGTCAGGTGTCCTTCAAAAATTATTTCTCAACCGAAAAAGAAAAATTTACATTTTGCTATTATTGGCCTTCTTAAAGTTAGATAGAAAAAATATCAAACTTTGTTACATTGTGTTATACATGATTTGGCACATATACAAAAGACTTTCCTATAAAAATTATATAATCGTTGAAATGATTTAGAAATGCCACTGAGGTTGCACAGCAAGTTTACTATCATTCACGCATTTTGCAACTAACACTCAGGTTTCACTCAACGTCACAGTGCTTCATCAAATACTTCTTCTGTATCGCTTTCCACTGATTTTATAACTTCATAATTTTCGTCAAGGCAGACAAAGTACGTTGTGACGAAACTCTTGTTTTTCACGTAGGTAGGGCCACGATACTCACACTGAATGCCTTGTTGTTCCAAAATTTTTGCTGTTTCTTCAGTTACCTAAAAAAGGAAAACAGATTTCAAACACATTAATATTGCTCAGATCGAACCCCAAATTAATTTGAGTCCTTTAACATTATATTTAACTTAACCTTCATGGTGACACATGATGCAAGAACAAATCAAAATGCAATATATATATATATATATATATATATATATATATATATA